AGACTGTAAAATTGGGGTAATATGATCATATTTTCTTGACCTGGTAAGGACTCTAGCCACTGCATTTTGGACTACCTGTAGCTTGTTTATTGAAGATGCAGGACAACCACCTAGCAGTGCATTACAATAGTCCAGTCTAGAGGTCATGAATGCATGAGCTAGCTTTTCTGCATCAGAAACAGGTAACATGTTTCGTAGCTTGGCAATGTTTCTAAGATGGAAGAATGCTGTTATTGTAACATGGGAAATATGATTGTCAAAAGACAAGTTGCTGTCTGATATAACACAATTTTTTGACTGTAGAGAAAGTAACAGTACATCCGTCTAGTTGCAAATTGTAATCCAAGAGATTCTGTGTACTGTTTTTTGGTCCAATAAGTAATATCTCTGTCTTATCCTAATTTAATAGGAGAAAATTATTGGTCATCCAGTCTTTTACATTTTTAACACACTCTGTTAGCTTAGACAATTTGGAAGTTTCATCTCGTCTTGTTGAGATATATAGTTGAGTATCATCAGCATAACAGTGGAAACTAATCATGTATTTTCTAATAATATTACCAAGGGTCAACATGTATATTTAAACTAGCAGAGGACCTAGGACAGATCCTTGTGGCACTCCATACTTTACTGGTGATAATTGAGAAATCATTTAATAAACAAAGTGGTAGCGATCAGACAGGTATGATCTAAACCATCTTAAAGCCTGCCCTTGAATACCTGTATAGTTTTGTAATCGATCTATGAGTATGTCATGATCTATAGTGTCGAACGCAGCACAGATCAAGTAAAACTAGCAATGAGATGCAGCCTTAGTCTGATGCAAGAAGCAAGTCATTTGTAATTTTAACAACTGCAGTTTCTGTGCTATGGTGGGGCCTGAAACCTGACTGAAATTCTTCATAGATATATTTTTTTTGCAGGAAGGAGCACAATTGAGCAGACACAACTTTTTCTGAAATTTTAGACATAAATGGAAGATTTGAAATGGGTCTGTAATTTGCCAGTTCACTAGGATCTAGTTGTGGTTTCTTAATAAGAGGCTTAATAACCGCCAGCTTGAATGGTTTTGGGATGTGACCTAAAGACAACGATGAGTTGATAATATTGAGAAGCGGTTCTTCTGCTACAGGTAACAACTCTTTCAGTAATTTAGTGGGTACAGGATCTAACAGGCATGTTGTTGGTTTAGATGCAGTGATAAGTTTGTTGACATGTTGCACCATTATCAAATTATCAGTTCAAGAGTTCAAGATATGACAGTGTGGTGAAAATGTTTCTATTTTACATCCTCTTCTAATTTAAGAAATTTTATTAAATTATTTGATTATTTGATGAAAATTTTTCTATTTTGCATTCATTTCTTATTTAATTAAATTATATCAACTAGTGAACAAGTTTTCATTTTAAATATTTTTTGTTACAAATTACATTATCATTATAATGATTTGAGTGGAAAGGTGATATTTCTTCACATGATCAATGTCACCAATTGGACCTAGAAATAGAGCATAATATTTCTTATTTACATTTCTAAATATTTAGTTTATTTCCAGATTCAAGTGGTATGTATAATTGTTTGAGTACAGAGTGGATTTCCTTAAATATAATATGAAAACACTTTCATTTATTCAACATGATTGAGTAGACTTTTTATTTTGTATTTATCTATTCCCTTTGTTTCTTCCTTTTAAAAAAAGTATGCTGTTTAATATCTTGAAAAGGAGTTTTTCCCTAGCCGCTCTTCACTGTGAACTATAACCTCACAATTGAGCAATTCTCACTGTCTGGATAGCCCAGCACAATGACACAAACCCAATTAACTTTGTGTAAACCCAATTTCACACTTGTGCTTCTAGTCACGTTGTCATGTTTGACATTTCCACCGGTACCCACTGGTGGGACACTTTGTTTGAGGCCGTGTAGATATCAAACTCAAATTCATCAATTCATACCTTCATTTAAAAGTTTTTAGATTGCCAAAGGATGGTTTTCTCCTCAACGGAAGTTCTAAACTTTACAAAAACTGTGGTCACCAACAATAAGCTTTTAACAGACAGAACAAAGGCTCATTTCATAGTAGATGATTAAAGCCAACCTTCTAAAGAGTTAAATTAATAGTTCACTAAATAGTTAACTAAATGAAAATCATTCATTATTTACAAATTTCATTCCAAACCGATAAGCTGGAATTCAGTCTTATTGCTCATTGACAAATTTAAATCTTTCCCTCCACAACTCTTACATCTCATTATTTTGGTGTCAATCGTTTGTAATTTTCAGTATTTAATGCCTTCAATTTCTTGTCTGTTGTGTGGGAAGCAGGTTCTAACATTATTTCCAGGTAAAGAATTGGCTGTTAAAAAAAATAAATAAATAAAATAAAAAAATCCACGATAGAATGACCATAAAATAAATAACATTTAATAGATTTTAAATAGAAAATGCTCGAGTAATTACCAAAGAAAAGAAACAAACTGTAGGACAGATCCTTGTGGCACTCCATACTTTACTGGTGATAATTGAGAAATCATTTAATAAACAAAGTGGTAGCGATCAGACAGGTATGATCTAAACCATCTTAAAGCCTGCCCTTGAATACCTGTATAGTTTTGTAATCGATCTATGATTATGTCATGATCTGACATGTTGCACCATTATCAAATTATCAGTTCAAGATATGAACTCATGACAGTGTGGTGAAAATGTTTCTATTTTACATCCTCTTCTAATTTAAGAAATTTTATTAAATTATTTGATCAGCTAATGAAAATTTTTCTATTTTGCATTCATTTCTTATTTAATTAAATTATATCAACTAGTGAACAAGTTTTCATTTTAAATATTTTTTGTTACAAATTACATTATCATTATAATGATTTGAGTGGAAAGGTGATATTTCTTCACATGATCAATGTCACCAATTGGACCTAGAAATAGAGCATAATATTTCTTATTTACATTTCTAAATATTTAGTTTATTTCCAGATTCAAGTGGTATGTATAATTGTTTGAGTACAGAGTGGATTTCCTTAAATATAATATGAAAACACTTTCATTTATTCAACATGATTGAGTAGACTTTTTATTTTGTATTTATCTATTCCCTTTGTTTCTTCCTTTTAAAAAAAGTATGCTGTTTAATATCTTGAAAAGGAGTTTTTCCCTAGCCGCTCTTCACTGTGAACTATAACCTCACAATTGAGCAATTCTCACTGTCTGGATAGCCCAGCACAATGACACAAACCCAATTAACTTTGTGTAAACCCAATTTCACACTTGTGCTTCTAGTCACGTTGTCATGTTTGACATTTCCACCGGTACCCACTGGTGGGACACTTTGTTTGAGGCCGTGTAGATATCAAACTCAAATTCATCAATTCATACCTTCATTTAAAAGTTTTTAGATTGCCAAAGGATGGTTTTCTCCTCAACGGAAGTTCTAAACTTTACAAAAACTGTGGTCACCAACAATAAGCTTTTAACAGACAGAACAAAGGCTCATTTCATAGTAGATGATTAAAGCCAACCTTCTAAAGAGTTAAATTAATAGTTCACTAAATAGTTAACTAAATGAAAATCATTCATTATTTACAAATTTCATTCCAAACCGATAAGCTGGAATTCAGTCTTATTGCTCATTGACAAATTTAAATCTTTCCCTCCACAACTCTTACATCTCATTATTTTGGTGTCAATCGTTTGTAATTTTCAGTATTTAATGCCTTCAATTTCTTGTCTGTTGTGTGGGAAGCAGGTTCTAACATTATTTCCAGGTAAAGAATTGGCTGTTAAAAAAAATAAATAAATAAAATAAAAAAATCCACGATAGAATGACCATAAAATAAATAACATTTAATAGATTTTAAATAGAAAATGCTCGAGTAATTACCAAAGAAAAGAAACAAACTGTTTTACACTTAATTGCACAGAAAATGTCAGAGGATTTCCAATTATGGCGGCTGTTACATTTAATTTATTAGCCTTTTTTTTGCCAGTGTCTAAGGAACACAATGACCTGTCCTGGCAAATTTGACATTTTTGTCAATAGCACACATAATAGATTTGTTTGGTCTAGAGCTTAAGCAAGGTAAACACATTAGCTTAATGGTGTGTTAACAGTGTTAAAAACCCCGTACAAAAATATATGCAAATGTTTAACAGAGCATTTCTATAACTGTTAATGTTCCCGATAGCCTTCCTGTGCATTATTTAACACCGTTGCTTGTAAGAGCGGCTTGCTTTGATGAGTTGGCAGTCCTAACACGATAGCCTACTATTCTTGTGGATTCTTAAACTAATCGCCTGTGGCAGCACTGAAGGTATTTAGCGTGCTCTTAACACCTTGTAGAGGTTGTGGAATCTGCCGCAAGTGGGAAACTCATCCCCTGTAGATTATCGGCTGGCTGGGTCAATAGAGCGCTTGCTGCTGAGCTGACACCATAGTTGTTAACATAAAAAATGAACTCTTCCTGAACATCATTCGTTTGTCACTGTCATTTTATGCTGCCTTCCAAAACATTTTCTGGAAATATACAGCCTTAGCTCAGTATTCAAAAATGTGTCAAAGGACTGCTCTGATACTCTCAAGGACAGCACAGAAAAAGTAATGCTAAATACAAATGATAAAAGGCAACTAGCAATATAAATATATTAGGATAGCAACATTAATTGGCTTGTCAACCTCTGAATGTTTGAATATGTTTCCCATCTTTTGTTGTTGATCTCAAAGAAATTCTAGATCTTTGATCTTTGCATTTCGTTTGGTTTGCGGATTTGTTTTGCCTTGGCTTTTTGTATTTTTCTTCTATTTATTGAATATACACACCCAATTATAAACATATGTTTTTGCTTTACTTAACTGGCACAGAATTTTTTCATACTTTTTGATTTAAAGAAATTCTAGTTGTAAAAATTTAAATTGTCAATTTAGGAAATATTTCTTCCGTATTGTTGGGCTTATGCAGTTCATGTTAATATTAATACATTTCCGTAAGCACATTTTTTGTTTACTTTTGCAAAATCCAAGTCCTAGAGCAACACCGTGTTATGCTACTTACAATGTCAAAAGGTGGTCAAATTGCCAGGCTGAAAACAACGTTTAAATTAAATAAATCATGCTCTCTTGTTTTCCACAGAAATTGAGAAAGGTGGATGTGGAGACCCAGGCGTCCCTGCATATGGAAAGCGAACTGGGGACCATTTTTTACACGGTGATGTGCTGACCTTTGAGTGTCAGGCTGCTTTTGAATTGGTTGGCGAGAGGACAATATCATGCCAGCAAAATAACCAGTGGTCTGGAAACAAACCCAGCTGCGTCTGTAAGAGTCATTTTCTGAAATGCTTGGTTATAATTAACATGTTGCCATTTAGAATGATTAATGTATCACCTCTGTAAAAGCATGACATCTAGATTAGGGGCAGATATGAAGCCGAATGGCATCCGTCCACGCTAGCAATTCCTAGGTTTGCTGTAGGAGAGGTCAATTGTCATATTTCTGTTTCTGGAAAGTGTTACTGTCTCCTCTTCTCTCAAGAAGGAATTCACTAAGAACTGTGTGTTTGTTTGACTACACATGTCTAGAGATATGCCCAGTCTACAAAAAATATATTATACAATATCTATCAATCTAAAATAATCCAAATTGACATTAAAATAATAATAAGAATAAAAATACAAAATATATAAATAAATAAATGCACACAGGCACAACTGTAGTGAATTCAACGCTCAATCCATCTGTCTGAGATAATCCTGTCATGCAATTGTAATTTTGTTTAGTATTGCGATAAGAGGAAGCAGTACCTTGTTAATGTATTAAATGGATGTTTTGTTGTTGTTGTTGTTGTTATTGTTTTTACTTTCCTGACAAAGCTCAGACTATGACATGTCATAATTTCTGCACCCTGCAAACAACTCATTATCGTGTTCTATGTGAATCCTCTTTTCTCTCATCTTTTTAGAGACAAAATAGTATTCCTGATAGCATATCTATTGTGAATGAAAATAAATATTGTAACCTTTGTAATGTAATTAAATATATATTTGTCTTCATCTCCACAGTCTCCTGCTTCTTCAATTTCACCACTCCATCAGGCATCATCCTCTCGCCAAACTACCCAGAGGAATACGGAAACAACATGAACTGTGTGTGGCTCATTATAGCAGAGCCGGGCAATCGGATCCATCTCATTTTCAGTGATTTTGAGTTGGAGCCCCAGTTTGACTATCTTATTGTGAAAGACGAAGGCATGCCGGAGCCCACCACTTTTGGAACGTTCTCTGGGAAGGATGTACCATCGCAGATCGCCAGTAATGGGCATATAATGCGCTTAGAGTTCCAGTCGGACCACTCAAACACGGGAAAGGGGTTTAACATCACCTACACAAGTAAATGTGATTTTAATATTATGTTGTGTTTTAGAGGTGAAATGTGCAATTTCTGCAACAATAGGGGCACAAATAATGTAGCTGGTTGGGATGCTCATATAGAGCAATGTTTGATAATGCCACAGAGTCGCTTTGTTTCACCTTTTCAGGGAAATCATCCTACGGATTGCTTATAAGGCAATATATCTGCATATTAAACTGGGATATAACAAAGTCCCTTACAAAGCAAGTCAGTTCACTCAGCAGCAATCTTGGGAATGTGGTCGGGCAGCTATTTTAAATCATGCAAGTATAGCTCCTATCTAACTGAATGGGGAAATACCAAAATGTCAAAAAGTATTTGACAAACTTGCATTTCAAGACCATATTTCAAAACAGCATGGTATCATAAACATTGCTTCTTATTCTCAAAAAAAAAAAGAAGAAGTATACTGTATTTTTTTAGGTTGTTCTAGCCCAGTGTACAAGTACAGTGTAGAGAAAAATCTGAGCCCAAGTTTCACATAAAGACCAGGTGGTGACTTTGCAGATTAGTGATTGACTCTTTTGTTTGAAAGGCAAGCTCTGCCATATTGGCTGTGTCCTCCTGGTTATACATTGCATAGCATAATTGTGTGATTGTTTTGTATTTATGTAGAAATTATAGAAATGCATCTTGCTAGAACAAGGGGTTATTTTATGTTTTTGCAGTATGCAGCTTGTCATAGGATTTAAGTCAGAGTAATATCTTTGAAGTTTAATAGATTCATTTGTAATATTGACTGAATGTTATGGTGCAATCCCAGCACCTTTCATTAGGCATATCTCTGTTGTGAAAAATGCTATTCTTCATACTTCCGGCACTTAAAGGGCATTTTGACCTTCAGTACAAGTTTAATAGGATTCCATATTTACAGCAACAAGCTTTGGTTTTCTTTCTTTTTTCTTTTTGCCACATGAATCAAAATATAGTCACGCATACCAAGAGTACTGAGTTTAATTAGTTTTTAGGTTTTTATTAAAATTACATTGACAAATATGATTTCAACTGAGATGAGCTTATCTTTGAACTTAAACAGAAATGTGTTTTAGTATTTAGGTCTTGGTGCACTGCAGACCTTGATAATCTCGATTCACAATGACACTGTTATGAAACCCAGTGAGCTGCCTACATAGGCAGCATATTAAGGCATAGACAGACTCTATCAAAAAGTAGGCAGCATGATTAAGATACTTCCTTTTGAACAAATTCTAAAGCCGCATGAATGCAACTTTGATACCAGTGTAGTGTTTATGTAGCTTAACTGGTACAGCGTGTTTTAGCAATGCCAAGGTAATGGTTTGATTCCTAGGAAACATATATACTGATGAAACACATGCTTTGGATTTTTTTTAATGGATTTGCTAGGTGCATATATGTACCGTTGCTCTTTATGAACAATATTAAAGATAGTTTGACTGTTAGAATGCCATTAGGGATACTTCAAGTCAGTGAGCTAAAAATGGCTGAAACTGAACATATTTATATTTTTAGTGAATAGATGAAACTGTGACCGAGATCTGTGTTGGCATGTCTATGTGGGAACAAAATGGGGTGGTAGATGGAGCCAGTAGTTGTAGGCAATGTCAGTGTCAGTGGATTGTGTGGTTTGATATCTCAACAGTGCTGCTTCAGTAATGGTGTGTCATTGTCTCAGAAATGAGTAGACGTGTTTCCCAAAGTGGCGCTGGAGCAACTATCAGGCATGGCCGTAAGAACAATGAGGCTGTCATTTGGGAATGGGGTAGAGCGGCGTACATGCCCTAAGCCCTGGCCGCGAGGTCTCCATGCATTAGCCATCACACTTCCACAGGGGCCTCACAGACAGATGTGTTCAGCAAATGAAAACACTAAAATAGCTTTGACAGGATTCTCTGCTTCTGCGAGTGCACATATTGAATAATTGAAGCTTCCACACTGACATCTGTGATGCATGTGCGACACATATGTGAGCTGTCTGCAGAGTTGTGTTAAGGGAAAACAGAGAGTTGACAAAAATCTTCAAGCCATCTTCAGTGTGTCTCAAACCACCGTGTGGCGGAAAAAAATAGAGGGTTTAGAAACGAAGGCTGTAATGCGACTGAATGCTCTCTGTTGACGTTTATCCACGCATCACCTCAACGTCTGTGTTTCTTTCACGTGATTCAGATTTATTTTTCATGGGAAATTGTAACTGTTAATGTTAAGTTAAGTAAGAGATAACAACTGACTAATGAATTATAAAAATTCATGCACACCCAATGGTGTTAATGCTGCTACGACACAAATTGTAGTGTGCATTCAATATTTTCATTGATTTGAAATAATTCTAAATAATTCAGTCAATCAGAATCAAGCATTCAACCATACCATAAAGCAAAGTAAATTAATGCCTTGTTATATTGTATGTACGTATGCTTTGCATTATGCAGTATTACATACATTACTGTAGCTTTTAACCCTAATGTCTGTGTACATGGTATGCTTGACCACACAGTGTACGAACAATTCAACTTATGTAATGCCTACTATAATAGAAAATCTTGACAAAATGCTTTTGCTTCTACATGAGAGCATAACTTCAACACAAGGTAACATTCAAAGATAATCCAGATGTTCCCGAAGTGACATTTTGATGGTGGGTGGATTAAAATTCTAAGAAGATGATAAAAAATATGCCTCTTGTAGAATAAATTAGAAATTGAGTTGCCTTTGTTTACATGGACTGCATTGTGTCCGTTTCCATGCTAAATTCAACTGTACTGGTGTACAGGACAATTATGGAAATGTATGTAAATCATACAACAGTGTATTGTAATTCACATTACCCATACATATTTGCCCCTACATATTTGGCGTCATTCAAATACATGCTATCACGTGAAGAGTACCGAGGCGGCTATATACAGTATGTGTAAGGTTTAGTGGTATCATGTATGTTAGCGTTGTATTCACACATGTGTGTTACAGATTCTCAAAATAAGGTCAAATTCTAGTGACGCTTTGGTGCCACACAGGTACTTTTCACTACTGCAACATTTGCCTTATGAGACTGGGCATTCTGGGCAAGATCAGTTGTGTTAGTTGTTTTTTAAAAGATAATTATAGTTGACTTAATTGAAGGTTAGGTACTCTTAATGAATGTTAAGTGCTGATATCTTCTCAGGCAAGAGCAGGCAGGACCTAGATTAAATATTATATGCTTCAGCACTGATTATACTTTTATCCCATGTCTGTAGCTTTTGGTCAAAATGAATGTCACGACCCTGGTATTCCCATCAACGGGCAGCGCTTTGGAGAGCACTTCTTACTGGGCAGCTCAGTGCTCTTCACGTGTGATGAGGGCTTCATCAAAACCCACGGATCCGAATCCATCACCTGTGTCATCCAGGATGGAAACGTGGTGTGGAATGCGGCCGTCCCCCGGTGTGAAGGTGAGAGAGCTCTTAGACTTTACTCCTCTGCACCTCTTCTGAAGGTGCTGCTGGGATTTGTGAGATGGGCTGCTGTTGACATTTTATTTTTCTGCACTCTCACTGTCCCAGCTCCATGTGGCGGACATCTAACGGCTCCCATAGGAGTCTTACTGTCCCCTGGCTGGCCCGGGTACTACAAAGACTCCCTCAACTGCGAATGGATGATTGAAGCCAGAAAGGATCATGCCATCAAGATATCTTTTGACAGGTATTGATTTGTTTTGAATTTTTTTTTCATTGCATATGAAACCCCTGGACACCTATCCCTGTCCCCTTTCTGGAAACTCTGGCAGCAGTCTCTTCAGTACAGTTTCAGTTTAATCTCCCTCATTAGAGTAATTCTGCTAAAGACCTGGGTCGTAAGCAGATGTTCCGCTCTTTCCGATTTCCTGTGCAGGTTTCAGACGGAGGTTAATTACGACACGCTGGAGGTTCGGGACGGGCCCTCCAACTCGTCGCCTCTGATCGGCGAGTACCACGGCACTCAGGCCCCCCACTTCCTCATCAGCACCGGCAATTACATGTACCTGCTCTTTACCACCGACAACAGCCGTTCCAGTGAAGGCTTCCAGATCCGCTACGAGAGTGAGTCAGCTTCTCATCTTTCCTCTGCACTGATTTAAATGCACAGATATTGGGTTTTCACGCTCCACGGTGGGCGGTTCTGCAATATTCCACACATTTTGGCTGGACACGCTCTCTGGTGCATGTAATGTAATTGGATTGGTTTCTCCAGGGTTACAATCAGATTATAGTCTTCTAGTTGTCTAAAAATTATTTTGAGAAACGTGTGTGCTAGCATCACATGACAGATATCAACATCCAGAGGCAACAGCTACATTTAAGAGACCTCTGTGAATAATTAAATTGATCTGAAAATAAAGTCTGTTTTCTTTTTGAATGTGTTTAGTGGTGGTGGGTTTATAAACTGCGCTGTAGAGTGCGATTAAAGTTTAATGTCCCGCTGACACAAGGCCTGTTTGTTTGTTAGTGCAGGCTCAACAGATCGACAAATCATTATTGTTAAAAGCATTGTTATTGTTTTAATGCTCTTGTAGTTATTGTCGACTTGCTAACAGGGATTACGCCAGAAAAAGTCAAAATCGGATTTGGCATCTGTTTTAGTGGACCCCCCACAGAGATATAGAGGTAAAACCCTGTGTGTAATGGAGAACAGATAAACCACCACTAGCATAAAAGCCTTTTGAATTCTTTATATGTCAATTTTATTGTTGAAAGTGGAGTATGCAGTTTATGTGCTACTAGTGTCACTTAGCGGAATAACAAAAATGAAGCATATTTTCAAACAGCCTTTGTAAAGCACCCCATTCGTGCGTCACGACTCCCTGAACTCAAACATTACAAACACAGCTCTTAAGGGTTTATAAACATGAAGACATGTCTCAACAGGTAAAAGTAGGCCACTTTCAATTAAAGTTCCAACATATTAGGAATGTGTTTCAATTGAAGTTTAGCTTACCTGTCAAGAAGAGTTCTTCGTCTTGATTAAACTAAACATTCCATCAAATATTCAATCTTGTAAAAACAGTACAGATCTTTTCCCTTGTTTTATCCCATTGTGTGTGTCTGTGTATTTTTGCAAGTATTTTAATTAATTAATTTATTTAGCTTTTAAGTCTAAAGAAAAAGACCCCCTTAAACTGGCATAGCAAAGGACATTTAAATTTAACAATTTAATATTCAAAGCAGTTAAAGGTAGCTGATTTTCAGCCAGCTTTGTATTGGTATTGTTAAAATGTCAGTAGTATATTTAAATAAGCAATGTTTACTCTTTCTCCATGTTACCTGCACCTAGATTTGCCGGTTTATTTGTGAAAACTACAGATCGCATTTCAGCATTTTTGTATCTTCACTAACGGATAGTTGGATTGATCTCAGTACACTATGGGTGCTGATATTTCCTTCCCTTTTTTTGGCAAAAGGGAACATCACAGCCTCTTTTCTCCATTTTTCTTTTGAAAAATCTGCATAGCCCATCTTGCCGTGAGTGACTCACCCCATTTATGTACATTCAGATTTTGTCCCCTATGTGATCAATGTATTAATTAATTAATTACAATGTAGTAATTCATTTATTTGTATTAAAATGGGCAAGGTACATAGTTCAATAAACTCAACTGTGTATGTAACATAATTGGAGTCAAACCAGAGATTTTAATTTTGGTATATTTGTAAAATGCTGCAATAATAAGTCAGTAAACCTTAATTAAAGAAGCTGACTAAAAGCTATTTTGTGCCACCGAAGAAACAACATTTACATGTTTTTACTCTTTACTACATCCCAGATGCCTCACCTCAAAATCATGCAAGGACCCCTATACAAAAGTCAAATGTGATATTCGTTGTATCAATGATAAAATTAATCATTTATAATATCTTCATAGAAAAAGTAAAACCAGAAGTAGTAGCATTTTGTAATCATCTTACTAGGCATTGATGTAAATAAACAGAAAGTAATCAATGTAATCAAATTATCTTAATTTAAAAACAGAACTAAATAGATAACTAATAAATAGACAAAGTTAACATTTTTGTTTAAAAAAATGCAGATTAAAAGAAAATGTGGCTAAACAAAGGATTAAGTGAATGCTAAATACATTCTTATGTAGACAATAGCAATTTAATTATTATTATTATTATTATTGTTATAATAATAATAATAATAATAATAATAATAATAATAATAATAATTATTATTATTATTATCATCATCACAAGCATTTATGTTTATTTTAGTTTAAAATGCTTTTGGTTGGTGGCCCATGTGATGTTTCAGCTATCAGTTATAAAAAGTTGCAAGCAGAAATATTGTCTAGGTCCAATAATATGCAAGAGAGGTGGATAGTCTACTCATTAGTCATCAGGGGGTGTGGTGGGGCAGAGTGGCCCCTTAATCATTTACTCCCTTTCCCTTTGAATTTGTTTGTTTTGAAATCTGATTTTGTTGTGCCCTGCTGCTCAAGTGCAGTTTTGATTGGAGTGTTAAATACACCAATCCTTGTTCCAAAACCTCATTATTAAGAAATTTAGCACTGCTTGTTAGAAATATAGCACATATCCATGTGCCTGCTTGTTTTGTATTATTGCAACTTTACAAATTGGTCTGTGTGTAAAATTAAATGTTATCACTTTTTACCCCAATGAACTTAACTGAAAAATGCAAATGGTATCTTTATAAAAACTAAATGGCTTGACAAATATTCTCCAGTTGCTCTTTTTCAGCAGTAATTTAACATATTTATTATAATGTAATGTGCTGCAGTAGAGACAGAAGAATGAGAAATATGGGCAAGAGGCAACATGAGATGATTCTCAAATAATATTCACAACTCCCAATAAATGACCTCTGACATTATGCCTGATATATATGAAACTCATTCGTGTCAAAGTGTTCCCATTTTTCAGACTTTTAGATGCCTATCAGAGGTTTATCAGTGGCCAAATAATAGACCCGAATGCATGTGAAACTGACAGGTGGAAATATTCCTCAAATGCCAGCCTCTGAGGGGAAACAATGTAGAAAAAAAGTGCTGTCATTTATTTTTTCCCAAATGATATTCAAAATATAGAAAAGGTAAGTAGAAATAAAAATGTATTGGTTCAAGGAAGGAGACCACTGGGCGACTGATATCTGCTGATTTATACTGTGTAAAGTGTTTCCGACTCATCCCCCTTTCAATTTAGACCTTGAAGGTGAAATAAAATATTTTTTGTTTTGTTCCTTCCTCACAGGCATTATGATGGATACAGATTCCTGTTTAGATCCAGGTATCCCGGTGAATGGGAAAAGGCACGGGAACAATTTTGCCATCGGCTCCAGAGTGACATTCAGCTGTGATCAAGGCTATACTCTGAGTGATGATGAACCCATTGTGTGTGAGAGGAACCATCAGTGGAACCATGCCCTGCCCAGCTGTGATGGTAGGCCATGTTGTGCTCTCTCAATTCTGGTCATGTACAAGAGAAACAGCTCCTCCCTACCACCCAGTGTAAAGACGCCTAAAAATTGGACCCAGGGGTTCAGTTTCCTTTGGGGAAGACTTTGGAGGCCCCTGAAAATCTGTGGCCTGAGGGCACTGGTCCGGGCCATAATCCAACCCTGCTAGGCCACATTACAGTTTTATCAGAGGGGAAAGAGTAAACCCTCTTAACACTCCTCTGAGATTTGAGTTCATACATTTTTGATTAGAGGAGAGGTGACTGGCATGCGCTGTTTCATAGATAACCTTAAATGGAGAGGAGAAAAGGACAGGGAAGTGGGAAAAAATAATGGAAGTCCTTAACCAGATACCTACAGGAGAGTGCTCTATAAAGCTGTTTATCTTATTTGTTTTCCGATTACAGGGATTGAAGTAAACAAAGTGTTTTCCCGTAAGAGCAATCAGGCTATTGCCTGTCTGTTCTAGAATTCCCAATGTTCTCTTATGCCTGCATCTTATCAGCTCTGTGCGTTTGCTCTAACAGACATTGATTCAGCATGATGGGCTCTCACCAGAGCCTGACCTTCATTACAGACAGGACAGATACTCCCCATTTGTTTGTGGGAATTGTAAATACATGTTCATAGAAGATTACACACTTCCTTCCTGTCAGGCTGATTATTATTATTAAATGGAGAGTTCAGACTTAAAATTCTGATTTGTCGAGCCATATTCTCAGCCATTTAAACATTCTGGTTAATGCACTACACTGATCGGCCACAGCATTAAAACCACTGACAGGCGAACTGAATGAATAGCATTGATTATATTGTTACAGTGGCACCTTTGAAGGGGTATTAGGCAAAAAGTGAAGAGTCAGTCGACTGGGTAAATGACTGGGTTAGAGCATCTCCAAAAAAATTTTTTGGGGGTGTTGCCTGTATGCAGTGGTTAGTGCCTGACAAAATTTCCAAGGAAGCACAACCAGGGAACCAGCTTCAGGGGCATGGGCCCACAAAGCTAGCGATGCACATGAGGAGCGAAGACTACTCCTTCTGGTTCGACCACATAGAAGAGCTATTGTAGCTCAAATTGCTAAAAAGAACTTGATGCTATCCATTACAGAAAGTGTCAGAGCACACAGTGCATTGCAGGTTGCTGCCACAGAATAGTCAGAGTGCCCACGAAGACCAGGTGGATGGCCAGGTACATGTGTGTTGTGGGACGGATGCACTACGGGAAGAAAGCAGGCCGGTGGAGGCAGTGTTAGGATCTGCTTAGAAACCTAGATCTTGCCATTTATGTTATTTTGACACGTACCACCTACAAATATTGTTGCAGACCATGTACACTCCTTCATGGCAGTGTGTTCCCTGATGGCAGTAACCTCTTTCAGCAGTATAAATGCACCCTGCCACACTGCAAGAAATGTACAGGAATGGTTTGAGGAACATGACAAATTGTTCAAGGTGTTGCCTTGTCCTCCAAATTCTCCAGATTTCAATCCAGTTGAGCATCTGTGGGATGTGATGGACCAACAAACCCATGGGCCTCATAATTTGTAGGAATTTGCTGCTAATGTATTGGGTGCCAGATACCACAGGTCTTATGGAGTTCATGCATCAGAACTGTTTTGGCAGCATGAAGGGGGACCTACAAGTTATTATGTAGCTGCATTGTTTGGCAGCCGTAAACAACCTACACTAGAGTCAAACAGCAATAACCCACTTCAGGCACTGCATTGGAGTGATTATACCATGGTTAATAGGGATTTGCCCAAAGGCCTTTTCGCACCAAACAAACCTAACTATTTACTACAAATTTCTGAACAAAAATTTGAACAGGAATGATGCATTCCTATGGCTAGTAGTGAACATCCTGAAAAGTGTGTGTGGGGAGTATGATTATTTAACTTAACATCATGAATATTTACTAGGTGATGTAATCTTTGACCAACTAAAGCTTATTTTCCAACCAAAAATCAGTGCCAACAATTACCTGTGTTAAAATGACTGTTACTCAAATCTATAAACTGTTGTATGGCTTGGTTAGTTTACATTATTAAAAGTTGTGCTAATTTTGGGATAGACTGACTTCAGATTTAATAAGCCAGAATTGTCATTTGATGAAGAGATTTAATGGGCCATTTAAGGACAAAATGCTGAGGCTCAAAAATGTGTGTCCTGTCATAACCTGCACCATATGATTTATTTTGATAAAAGCAGGACGATGAGCATGACTCAAGGACATATTCAGTATCCTGTTATGATGTCTGTCTACAGCTCTGGTACTTCGAGATAAAAAAAACAAGCACTTTTTTGACTCTGCACTGACAGACGTTCTCCAGTCAGAAAATTGTCTCAGTTCTTATAGTTCCTTTTGATCTTCTTACAAGTAGCAGTGCTGTATCTGATGTCAACCTCTTATTGGTTAGGCTATTATTAAACTCTGCTGCTTTGCATGTGAAAACATCTCTATTTCCATGTTTTGCATCTATCATCTTGTAGTTTCGCTACAAAGAGAGGAAGCTTTATTATGGTATTTATTTATGTAAAAATATTTTACATGTTCTGGATATTGTTTGTCAAGTGTGTGACCCAGAAATCTGCATCAACACAACCTGGGCTCATATTTGAACCATTGATGATTATATTGTTTGAGCAATGAACAGTTTGCAGCACACTGGCAACCACCCAAAACATCCTAAGCAACCATAAAATGCTGAAACCACTCAGAACTTAACTGGGGTGTGCTTCCCAAAAATAACTATTGCGCAAATTGCGTTGTTACCAATAGAGTTCAATTAAACTAACAACCATAGTTAGCTAACGATGCTTTTGGGAAACACACCCCTGCATAGCAACACCCTGGCACTACCCTCACATTATCTTCACAAAATCTAGTTAAGCTTCAACCAAAAGAATTATTGATGGAGGATGTATGTCAAGGCTAGATTTACTCTTTTTCGGGGAAAGTAGGCCATTCAAGTTCTTTCTGTTATTGCTTTTCCAGCTTTGTGTGGGGGCTATATCTATGGAAAAACCGGAACGGTTCTTTCCCCTGGTTTTCCAGATTTCTACCCAAACTCTCTGAACTGCACTTGGACGGTAGAAGTGTCTCATGGGAAAGGTAAGACAAAAGAACAGGTTACAGCCATGAGAGCTGCACGAACTATAGAAAGTGATAACAGTTTGAGGCACATTGATTTTACCCATGAGGTTCCTTTCTGTGCCCTTTGAAATTACCCTTGATAATGAATTAAAGATACTTCTCACATTTCTCTACATTTTATTACTCAGCACCATGTCGGGCAAATGCGATTCTGTTTCGATCAGTATTACGTTCCCTCTGAAGGCTTCTCAGTGGGTTGTGAGGTTGAAACTGAGATTTTGCTTGTGACTGACGGCCCTAATCTCATCTGAAACTCCCCAGGAGTGCAGCTTCTCTTCCACACGTTCCACCTGGAGGACTCCCATGATTACCTGCTCATTACCGAGGATGGCAGCTTCACCGAGCTGGTGGCCAGGCTCACAGGCTCCGTCCTGCCGCCCTCCATCAAAGCAGGCCTGTTTGGCAACTTCAGCGTCCAGCTACGCTTCGTCTCGGACTTCTCCATGTCATACGAGGGATTCAATATCACCTTCTCTGGTGAGGGCATCACTCATTCTGTTCATTATAGTGTGCTTGAAGGCACAGTTGTCATGGTGCTTACTCTAACCCCTGCTTGGCTAAGCAGTCTGGAGGTTTAAGAGTTATTATGACTCTGTACCACAGAGTACAGATTGGAGCCATGTGAGGATCCGGGAGTACCCGCATACAGCAGGAGGGTGGGCTTCCAGTTCGGGGTCGGCGACTCACTGGTCTTTTCCTGCTTTGCGGGCTACCGTCTGGAAGGCGAGAGTAAGATCACTTGCTTGGGTGGAGGCCGGAGAGTGTGGAGTGCAGCCCTGCCCAGATGTGTGGGTAGGTGGACATAATGTACTTTTCTCAAACATCAGTGTTTATTAAAAGGATAGTTCACCCCAAAAATGAAAATTCAGACATTATTTACTCTATTTAATATTTACCCTCATGTCATTCAACATTCATGAGATCTTAGAAAAATTGTTTATACATTTCGTCATAAAAGTTATCCATATGAAGCAAGCGATTTAATCCAAGTCATCTGAAAATATATGATCGCTTTGTATAATTGGTAACACGTTAACAAAGGGGCCAATTCTCACTATTAACTAATATAGTTGCTTATTAGCATGCCTATTAAGAACATATTGGCTGTTTATTAGTACTTATAAAGCACATATTCTACATTCCTAATCCTACCCAATACCTAAATTTAACAACACCTTACTAACTTTTAATAAGCAGCAAATTAGGAGTTCATTGATGCAAAAGACGTAGTTAATGGTTTCTTAATAGCGAGAAGTGTGACTGTATAATTTATATGGATTACTTCTACGATGTGTTTTGAAACTTGCAAATGCTGATTACATATACTTTTGTGGATGGACTAAATTATGACAGAATACTAAAATCCAAAGATGAAAGTCTTATGGGTTGACAATGATATGAAGGTAAGTAAATGATTATACTTTTTTTTTTTTCAAAAAGACTCACAAATTAGTCTTGAGCTTTTGTATTGCATTTAAACACTTCATTTAGTGAGATAAAAAAAGCTTTGTTATTCTGTTGTTCATGCAATGTTAAGGAACTGGAATTGTTGAGTGAAATCTAAACTTATTAAGATTTTTATTTCTAACTGAATTTTAAAATATAGAAAGTGTCTACTTAAAATACTTATGGCATAATAAATGTCTTGTTCACACTTTTTAGAGTTGTTGAATAGACATTTAAATTCTTAAATATATATGGAAATGCAGATTTCTACCATTACTACTACTATTGGGTTATCAATTCAGAGTGGATTAAATCAGTGATTTCTAAGAGTCTGTTGGCATTTTAATAAAGCTCAGGCTAATTTCCCCATAAAATGTCCCATATAAGGAAGGGAGAACCAAAGTGAAATTTTAGCCAATGCATATTATTAGTCTATTCTTTTCACCCTGAATTGAGTCCATTTTACAATGCCTCAAATGCATTATTAAATGCTCAGACTATTCTCCCATCTTATTAATGTTTTATTTATAATGGAACTTGACACAGTACATGTTCACATTGTAGGGTAAAAAACTTTCAGAGATGTACCTTGCCATGATAGATTAACTAAAATTGATCAGATTGCAGATTGCTATTTTTTTCTTTTGTGGTGGTTAAGTGGTTAAGGTCATGGATATTTGTAGACAGCATTAAAAGCGCTGACAAAATAATTGGTTGTAATTGTGCAGTCCTCCTGTTGGACGGGGTTTTAGTAGTGGTTAATCGCTGCGGTGTAATAAGAGCGTGTGAGTGTGTCTTTAATTGGTCTGGTGAGCACAACAAACATTAGCCTCAAGAGGTTTGGATTATATTAGCTACATAAAATTGATAAAGGGTTGATGGGGAGATTCTCATTGAATGAAATTATCTCTAGTTTTTGAAAGCCTCCAGACCAGAGTTTCCCAATCAATAAGGGTGCTAGATAACTAAAATGGTTGAGGGTGAGAGCTAGACACCTGAGATATGTAATACTTATTTTTTTATTTTTCTAAACCATTTAAAAAAAAGTAGTATCACTGATTGATTTATTGCATTAGCATTGCAATCATTGCATATATGTATGCACACTACATACAGTATGTATGCATGTACAGATAGATTAAATATTATTAAAATGCTAAATTAAATGTGTAAAATTCATTTTTATATCCCTGATCACTTTTAAAATGGTGGTCCCTTTATATTTTTGGTTTGTGTCAGACCAAACTAATTACTGACTAGTGTCCTCTGGCACTAAAAAAAATAAAAAAAAAAATACCTAAAACAACTTAATTTCTCTCTGAGTCTCTGAGGAACTGATACCTTTTAAAAAGTCTGGATACCAGGAGGCCATTGTTGGAGAGTTTTATCTTAAGTTGCTGAGCTCAAGGTCTTGAAGCAACATCTGCTTATCAGTGGCGTGCGGTGGTGTTTTAAAATGAGGAGGCAGTCCTGGTTAAATAAATATTACATAAAAAAAGAACAAATATAATTATATTTTGTATTTAATATTTTTAATACTAATTATACATTTCATAGTGTGTTTATGCATTTTTATATTTATTCCAAAATAATAACTAAAGGCAGTAACAATTTGAACAATAATGTTTCACTAGTTAACATTAGTCAACTAATTTAGGTAACATGAACTAAGATTAAACAATAGCCTACTTCTACAGCATTTATTAATCTTATTTAATATTAATTTCAACATTTACTAATGCATTATTAAAATGAAAAGTTGTGTTTGTTAACATTAGTTTATGCATCGCAACTAACAATGAACAACAGTATTTGTATTAACTAATGTAAACAAAGATTAATTAATACTGTAATAAATGTTAATTGTTTGTTCATGGTAGTTAACACATTAAGCGACACCTTATTGTAAAATGTTACCAATATTTTTTATTTGTGAACTGATGTTCATCTGTTCTTTTTAATAGTCAACTTATTTCGGGTCATCGCCATAAAAGATCTGTAAACGCGAAAGACACGAAGATATTATCTTTTTATTTAATCATGCTGAATGCTCACTAAAAACTGACGCAGTCATCACGTTTTCAGACCATTTCAACTTTTATTTTGACTTAAGAAAGTAGTGGTATCTAAGCAGGAGTTGTTAACTTACCTTATAATTACTCAATAACGCCATCATTTTCATAATTCAGGCCGTGAGCTCGCACAAAAACAAGAGGCAGTGTTGGAAATGTCCAAGTATCGTACCAGAAGCTCAAAATGATCGTATTTGGAAGAAAATTATCGTACACGAGTCAAACGTACAGAATACAGATATTTATCTAAACCAACAACTTTTTGACACGACCTGCAAATTACCACAATAGATAACTAGGCGTACCGTGTTTACATTGAACACAAGCAGTGCGACAAAATTATATCAGTGACTGTTTGCACTGGATGCGACATGACACATCCCCAACAGTAAACTGATGCCTCGTTCTATTTATGTCTATATATTTATATTAAAATGATTTTTAACACTCACTTTGTCGCGTCGAGTGTAGACAGACTTTAGCTGTTAACTCCACATCTGAGCCGCTGTCATCGGAAGCCTGTGTGTTGCCAGATGTTGAGGGGGTTCTTGCCATCATGGACCGCAACATAGTGCTCGTTGGCTTTAAAGCAGGGCACCCTCCTGCATTCTTAACACACTCTGAGGTGTGCACGAGCACTTTTAGAATGTCTGTAATGAGCCGATTTCGTGTATGAATATAGAAGCCCTATGACTACAACTACCATCATTTGAATTGTCATGAAATTATCGTACATTATGGGATTTTTTTCATTATTGATCGTACATCGTACAGAGGTCAAAATTATCGTACAAATACGATAATTTTTGTACGTCTGGCAACACTGACAAGAGGCTGGATATATTGCATAAACCAATCACATTCAATCATAACCGATCATATCCAATCATATCGCGATGGAGACATTGCCTCCTCTCACGTGACTTTCCCCCATTCATTCTCAATTACAACCCAGAAAAGGCATGCTAAGGGCTCTCTGTTGTAAATCTATGGACTGAAGGGAGCCAAGCCTCCACTGTAACTTTACCTGCGGGTGTCACTGTTGGACGGTGTTACTTTATAAAAATTTGTGTCTTTTATACTTTTAATGCCATATTTAGTCATATTTGTGATTTATGTTTGTAATATCGATTATTTTGTCATCCAATTTTTTGAGGAGACACTGCCTCCCTTGCCTCCTCGGAGGGAACGCCCCTGCTGCTTATATACTTAGAGAGTCGCTGGTGCAGAATATTAAACAGAAGGACATCTGATCCTAACACAGCAGTGAGCTTTCGTGACCAGCAACTTGGTAATGCATAAAGGCCTATATTAATTAGTATTCCTCTGAAGTTGTTCTCGCAGTGATTCATCAAAAAGACTCAAATTCCAGACGGTACAAAACCTTGGCCTAAAATTGGCCTGTCAGTAGGAAATGGAGTAGCAGCTGTCAGGGCACTACAGGATTCAAGGGAACCCAACTTATTTGTTACCAACCCCTAGTTTTTCACAGCCATGTGCAGCTTTGATAAGTTTGCGCTTTCTGCCCTCAGTAGCTATGTGAACATTTGGCTTCTCACCAATTTTTTTTTCTACCTAATCTTTCCCATCCATACCTCCTGGGTTTGCCTAGCTGAGTGTGGAGCCACTTCTGTGGGCAGTCAGGGTGTCCTGCTGTCCCCCAATTACCCAGCAAATTATGACAACAACCATGAGTGCATCTACCGCGTTGAGACTGACAGAGGCAAGGGGATTCAAATCACAGCCACCACCTTCCAGCTTCACGAGGGAGATTTCCTCAAGGTAGGAAACATTTTATATCACTGTACATTATTTTTAGGTGGATGTTTGGTTAAAAAAATATGTATACATACATACATATAATCTAATTGAGTATACATACTAAAATACAAAAAAATGTGTGTGTGTATATATATGCATATATATATATATATATATATATATATATATATATATATATATATATATATAGTATATATATATTTTTATATA